CGCAAAGAAAAAGCAGCGTCCAGAGGATGAATAATACACCATGATTGTTATTTCTTAGGAAGCCTGGAGGGGGGAGTGTGATTTTGTAAGAGCGAGGAGTGTATGAGTGACTGGAGTTTAACCGCAGGCAGGAGGGAATTTGCAGCTGTCAGTCTGGGAGGCTGGTGGGAACAATGTGAAGTTTGTGCAACTGACAGAAAAGACAGCAATGTGAAAAGAGCCAGGGAGGAAAGATAACATCAGCGCACACATCTGAGCGGGCCTGTGTGTGTGTGTCCATGCGAGAACGGGGTTAAATTTGGTTCCTCTGTGGACTCGAACGGCTTCTGTCCACTCCCCACGCCTCTCGCAGCTGTTGGTTTTGGCCTTGAAAGTTAGAAGCGTGTTTCGCCAAACAATGAAAACAATCAATGTTGTCCCATAGCCGCTCCCTCCCCTTCCCTCTCGCGCCAGCTTCCTGAGAAACAGGATGTTATGGATTCGACATCGGAGATGGATCTTCAGCTCCCCGAAAAACAAATTCCACGACAGAGCCGCCACCTACAGGACCCTCGCCGATGGCCGCCGTTTTGGATCATGCTGCACCATTTGCCCCATGACTACATTACACAAACGTAACCCACTTCCTATTTTTGCTAAAACAGTTCCCCCTCATTTTCACTTCCGCCTCTATGACCTTTATAAGACAAAAACAATGATTACACCAAAACCTGATTTGCATTCATTCTGTCCAAATAAAGTTTTCCAGCATACCCGCTAATTAATTAATTTATTCTTGGACTCCTTTACTCCTTACGTATAAAGAGACAATAAGTCTTAGATGTCTTACTTAGTCTAATGTTGGATCTGTGAATAGAAAAACCTCTGTTCAGTTACATTTCACAATGTAATTTTTATTACGTACCCTTTTACTCTCTACAAAGTGTTTCTACAAGTAACTTTAGCAAGTTAATTTAAGGCTGTAAGCCCCAAATGCATTCCAAAAACATAATAAGCTTAATAATTCAGACATAAGCAAAACTCAATTTTGTATATTTTATTAGACATCAAAATTTCTGATGTTTTTCCAACTATGGCATTCACATTAAACCAACTTCTGTGCTTACAGCACACAGACAACCTGATCATATCAACTTCTAAAGGTCATAAACTAGAAATGAATAATCATTTATGATTGCCTAAACATGATGAAGTTCATAAAAGTAAGAATATTAATTGCAAGAAACCTTGGTCATTTTGTACCAGAAAAAGTTACTTCAGTTTATATCCATACTAACACTGGATGAATCCAACAGCATAATTTTTAATACAACAAGTCACATGTCCCCAAAAGTCCTGACAGTGCGTTCCAAACTTTGACGGGAACAAGAGGGCACAGAGGAAGGGGTCACGCTCGCTCGTTCAAAGCATGACAGAAGCAAAAGTTCAAAACGACAAGCACGTTGCCTCTGAGGTCAACAACATCTGATTGAACCCTGACACACCACGAGCCAGATATCCCCATCTGATTCTGCAGCCATCAGTCAGCATGACTCACTTAACCCTGTCAGAAGACATCTGTGATGATCATGCGCATGCGTAACCATCAATGAGTGCTTTGTCGACTTAATCAAACTCGAGTTATTGAAAGGAGCGCTCACACCTGCCGAAACAAGAGAGCCGCTCGCAGAAACGCACATCTGGTCGAGCGGTTTCAGCCGAACCGACGCCGCGGTTTGACGTCGAAGTCAGTGTGATGCTCAAGCCGAGCGAGACTTGTAATGGGATTGAAGCTTTACCCCACTAATCCACTTACCTCCTCACACATGCACATGTGAAGTTAACATGTACGCACATGTGCAGACGCCCTCCGGTATGGCTCTCTATGGATTAACCCGGAGTCGTTAAGAGAGCAGACACAATCACAGGCTACGTCCAGAGCATGTGTCAGCAATCAAACGGCGGCTTGGAGACAAGTCGCCAGGAGAGCCCGGCGTGTGGTGTTATTAGTGGCGGCACCAGAAGATCAACAACAAACCTGAGCCTGTTACACCTATAGTTCAAACGCCTACTATATAAACATCTACCAGGACAGACCTAAAGCTTAAATGGAAGTCTTTAATACCACAATCCAGTATACGTCTGCATGAAACCGGTGTTTACAAAGAGCAAAAAGGCTAGCTTACATATTCACACTCATGCCGACGGTTATCCACACCCATGCTTTTTTTTTTTCTTCTTCTTCCAGTAACAAAACAAGTTCACACAAGACCCACCCAACAGGTTCACTGATAATCTCAGGTTGTGTGACCGACCACCACCCACACAGAAGAATGGATTTCGCAAAGGCATTTCTTAACGTATACACAATCGTGCCTTAAATATTTACAGTCAGGTTTAGTCATCAACAAAAGGAGTAGCGGTGATGAAATATTAAAATAAGACACTATTGAGACTTTTCTATAGAAGCAATCAAATTGTCTTGATACAGTGGTCCGTCATTATTGAAAAATGCTCATTTGTTTTGTCATAAAATCAATCAAGAAGAAAAAGCTCTTAACAATGAAAACTGATTAAAGCTCATAATTTTGCTTCATATTAATGTCTGTTTTATTCTGTGTGACTCTAGCAAAACATTTTATCAGTTTTTAAGACCGCTGAACCAATGATAGGGCAATTTGGCAACACATGAGAGGCAGACTAGAATGACTCAATCAGTTCATTTCTGTGGGGAAAGTAGCCAGTCTACTCAAGTGTTTACTAGTGCAACTTGATCAAGTCAATTCTTTTACTTTTTACGATGTCATCAACGAACACACAACTCAAATATGTTTTCCCCATTTACTTTGTATTCAGTAAAGTCCTCCAAGAAAACTCGGTAGCACACTGCCCAGCTGTGTTTCCATTGTCGGTGTACATTCGTCAGCAGTCAGTTTCATCTTTTTTTTTTATTTCTCTCAAACGTGAAAATGATCAGCTGCGGCGTAAATAGGCCAGAAATGTGGAGCCAAAGTGAGAACCATCTCAAGTTAGGAGCAGCTAGCATTCCAATGATTTAGAAATCACAGATTATTTGGCAATATGGGTCAGCAGCAATGAAGAGGACGTCATCAAACAGGAAAATTACATTTTAAAAAAGACTAATTGTTTAGGAGTTGTACGTTTTACTCACGCTGGGTGCTTTGTAAACGCCACCGCCCCGCTAAATGAGATAAAAATCAGCTCTGTTGAGTTGAATGCTCGCTCAGCAGCAAAATGACCTGGATTGGCTGTCTTGCAACGTTAGCATCACAATAACCCACATAGCCCTCCGAGAGGGGAGCTAACGTTAGCATAGCAAACGCATTATCCGCTAAATAATTTAAATGTAGCGGCCAGGCGGCGTTTACAGATAACCTATCCTGGCATTTACAGTCATACTCGTTGGTATTATATGGTCTTTTGACTCGCAGACTTCACTGAGGGATTAATCAGTTTGAACTTTTAGATTAGCATCGTTAGCTAACGTTAGCCACCGAGAGTCGTGCTCATCTGTCGAAAAAGCGACCACTCCTTGCCAACGCTGCAGTGCCCTCAAAATGTGCGAGTAACGGGAGGGGGGCACGAAAAGCGCAAATCACAACCAAACATCTGGGAATAATTATGGATTCACTCACCTGCTGAGGGAATACCAGCCCCGACCCCTTCCAGACTACTCCGTTTTTAGTGTTTTCTGCTCTCTCTCCCTCTCTCTCCCCCTCCTTCCCTGTCCTGTGGGTCAGCCTTGTGGAAAACCAAGCGACATCAGAGTTTTCTACCAAACGGAGGGCGGGATTTAAAAGGCTTTTTACGGTAAACACGTCGCACTCAGAATGTGTCGTACAGGTGTGTATAGTCACTGCGAACAGTTTACCAAGCTACGATTAAACTCTCTTGATCAAACACACATCTCCTTGTGTGACCAGGTTGGTTATTGCAACTGTGAAAAAGGGGATTTAAATTCCGTTTGCAGTGCCGCCTCCAGTCTCCTCCCATGTATTTCCGCCTCTGAACACACACTGATGTCATTTCATTGATTGCCCAAGAACAATGGTCACGAAAGGGGAAGCTTGGATGCACTCCATGGGGGAAGTAGCAGCATTCCACATCGACGCGAGAAAATGGTTGGCACATAAAAACAACGCGACAAGTGACTGTTCGCTTCTGTGTATGACTCACTGAGCATTTCTTGATGACTATATTAGGCATTTCCTGATTCTGCTTGTTTTACTTTTTAAAAATAATTATAATTTTTAAAGTTCATACATTTTGTTTTTGCTTTATGAACATAAATCTGAAAAGTCTGGCAATATATTTGTATTAAATCCCATTTACTCTGATATCCCTTAATAAAAAGTGAAACAACACGCCTTTACAAGAAACCTAATTCTCCTGGTATGAAGGTTCGCCTTCCAGGAGGGTGACACTAAACATACAACCTGAGCTTCAATGGCATGGCTGAAATCTAAGAATATTCAAATTGAATATTAATAATAAATCCAATAAAACATCTGAGGCAAGATTTAAAAAATAATATTTGCATTCAGACTGAGTTCAAATTATTTTTGCGCAGAGGAATAGGATGAAATATCAATCTCTAGCTATGCAATGCTGTTAATCATATCCAGACTTAGAGCTGTAATTGCACTGAAAAGTGGTTCTAAAAGGCACCGACTCAGGATGTGTGCATCAAATACACACTACACTTTTACATTTTTTTATTAGTAAAAGAAAAAATCTAAACAATGTTCCATTAGAAAAAACAAAGAAACTGCAAAATAGTTAAATTCTGTAAAACCAAAATTATATGAATAAATAAAATACATTCATGAAGTAATCCAAAAGTCTTTCCAGTCATGATTCACACTAAGAAAGGCTGAGTGGAAAGAGGAACAATGCAAGGAATTTCCCCACAGTTTCCTTGAGACCCCCCTTAAACACTCATCAGAATTAGAAATATTAGACACACAAGAAGTATTTACAATAGTGCTGCCCTCTGGCCATGCAGTATGGAAAATTGTTTATTTATGACAGAATATCTGACACTAAATAGCAAATAACACAAAAAACAAGTCATAAACTATCTGTTAAGTATAAAAACTTGGAAATCGAGCAATAAAGTTGGTGGAAGTTTGTTTATAAATGAAAATTGCACACAATCACAAAAACAAGGAAATGCTGCCTTCCTTTGTCTATTTTTTACAATTCATTGTGCTGTGTATGAAAACTCAGACGATTATTTCAAAATGCATAGTATGTGTTAAAGGATCTTTAAATGCAGCTCCCCTAATGCTCCCAGAGAGGAACAGTCATTCTTTTCTAAACTTTAAAATTGCTCTTAAATAAATTCTGAAAAGAAAAAACAAGCAGGTCTCAATGCTATGTTAAAATGTTCTACAAAGTTCATTTGACTGATAATAAAATACAAGAAAGTAAATCAAGATCTTATTTTTAACGTAAGTGTTCATTTAAAATATTTTTTGGAATCTAAAACTTAAACAGAATAATGCTCCCCAAATCTTAAAAAAGGCAAGTTAACACATATTTCTGGCATTGTAGCTCTTTTAGTTTTTACATATATCAACAATAAAATTTGCCCAGGCAAAGTGTTTTCAATAATTTAGAATAAGCTTTATGTTCTGACCTGAAATATGTTTTTTTGGCAACTAAAAAAAAAAAAAAAAAAAGTTTTTAAATTGAATCATTTATCAAACAATACTTGAAAATTATAAAGTTTAAACTAATTAATTTTGTCAATGTTCTGAACTAAATTCAAATGAGAATCAATGAACAAGAAATGCTTCAAATTACTGAAACAATGACGTGAAGAAAAATTCAAAACAAAAAACTAAAAAAAAATTTATGCAAGATTTAAAAAAAAATGCTTTCAATCAACAAAATTCATAACAATAACTAAGTAGTACTTTAAAATAGCTGGGAATAAAGCACATCTAGATACACTGCTAATGTGAATACAGTCATGATCAAAAGTTTTGGCAGTGACACACGGGTGTTTCTGTTTTTATGGCAAAAGGTCAGTTTAGTTATCAAACTTTGTCATCTCAATGAACTTTATTGGCTTAAAAATAACCAAAATAACAGCGTTGCATATTTTTAGCAATAGCTAAAAATGCCAGTTAATTTTAATAACACCGTAAAGGAGAACAAATAAAATAATTGTATCAATCAAATTAGTTAATTAACTGCATTATAAAAGAAGTAAATGTTATGGAGGCCTTTATCGATTTGAATTAACAGTAGTTCCTTCCAAAAGAAAGAAAAAAACATGCAGCAACTGGTGACATATTGGGCTCATACAGAAGGAAATCTGCAGCCACTGTTGCAGGGGACATAAACATTTAAGGGTCTTCAAGAGGTTTTGTTGTAGAGAAAATGGTTTTATGGTGTCTAGGAGTGTCGAGCAAGCGCCAGAAAGAATGAGCAATGGCAATACCAACAGTGCAGAGCTAGCTCGACACTGGCCTAAAAGAGGAAGGTGGATTTAAGAAAAGCCGAGATTCACCCGAGCACAGAGAACCACCAACCCACCAGAATGCTGAGGCAGCAGGCCCCGTATTTGTGCCACTTTTATTAATGTCTTACGTGATACGTTACAACCTATAAAAGATACCCTTTTGTATTTGTACTGTATTTAATTGCTAAATTAGTGTCAGCATGACTCTGAAGTAACCGAATCATTGAATTTTAAACATCATTGCTCACGCAACGTCTTGCCAGGACATTCACAGCAGCTTTCCTTAGGCTGAATCAAGTTAAAACATTAAAATTAATATCCTGCTTTTACGGTTCTCCAATTAATTACGTAACTTCAACCAACTGTATGGTTAGTTTGGTATTTAACACCGGAGCTTTGCATATGCAACATAAGAACAAAATGTAAAGTTAAATGTCTTATTAGGAATGCTCTGAAATACTTGGACCATATTTCTGGTTTTGTTTTCATTTCAGGGATTAAGTCAGGAGTTCTTCTGCTGCTCACACTGCAAGCCAGGAAATGTCAAACTCTGACTCAACAAACACTACTGTGCGGCTGCGGTTTGTTTTCTTATGATAAACAAAACATTAAATTCCTGGAAGTCATAAAAAAAAAAAAAAAAATCTGGATCCTGACCACTTAATTGAGATCACAGCCCTAGGGTGGAATTGTGCGTGATCATGTGTCTGCGCAGGTTGCTCGGGTTGTTAAAGCTGGCGGTGCACTGGCTGCACGAGAACGGCTTCTCTCCAGAATGCGTCCTCAGGTGGATCTTGAGGCTGCCGTTCTGCGTGAAGCGCTTCCCGCACTGCGTGCAGGCGTACGGCTTCTCGCCCGTGTGAATCCGCATGTGGATGGCCAGCGTGGTCTTGTTCGCGAAAGTCTTGCTGCACAAGGAACAAGGCATGGGCGACTCGCCGGTGTGGCCGGCGCGGTGCACGATAAGTTCCTCGCGGCTGTGGAAGCGCTCGCCGCAGAAGCCGCAGTCCAGGGATTTGCTGATCGGGTTGGGGAGGACGTTGTGCTGTTGCGAGAAGTGGATGGGCTGTCCATTTGCGTCCACTGTGGGGGAATTTAATGCTTGGCTCCCTGCTGCTGAAGCTCTCCGCGTGGGAGGATCCCTTTCGTGTTGGATGTTTCTCACCACTTCAGTACAGTTTTCCTGCACCGCTCCAACCGGTGCACGGCCATTCGCACCACTCGAGAAATTAAGAATCGTCTCTGGAGGGATGCTGTGGTCAGACAGGACGCTCAAAGCCTGAAGTTCAGAGGCAGAGAAGAGGATGTCGCCGTCCTCCTGCAGAGGGGCCTCTCCCACGCTGTGAACATTCACGATCCTCAGCTGCTTGTTATTATCGATCAAGCAGGATGAGCCGGATGAGTCTAAGCTCTGATTCCCTGCACCCTGCATGCAATCCTCTCCAAAGTTATTTTGACCTAAAAAATAAAAATAAAAAAGGAACACCAACATTTATTTATTACACATTTATCGTTATCTTGCCTACAAAACAGAAACCGCACCGGTGAAGCCGACCGGTGAAGCCGACTCACCAATGTCGGGCGCAGATCCTACAACATCATCCTCATCTTTGATCAGAATGACCTCTGGACTGTCCACATCTGCACACTGGCAAACAATCAGGCAGAAACCTGAGCAAATTAACACGTCAAACAGACTCACAACAACATAAAACTATATTTACCTGCACTTGGACAGCGGAGGAGGACAACTTGGTTTGGGGGACAGAGGTGGAAGCAGTTTCAAGAACGGTTTTATCACCCTGTGCTGGCTTCATAAACACTGCAGAGAAAGGAGAAAGTTTATGGTCAAAAACCGAGTGGGAGGATCCACTCCTTCCACACTAATGTTCATCTGTCTTTATACCAACTGGTATAAAGACAGATGAACATTAGTGTTCAGAACTGTGAGAAAAAACACCGCAAAGATTAATGAGGCAAAGTCTTCTTTCCATCAAGAAGGCTCTTCAAATGTACTTTGTTGTGACACACAACACCAATGCAGAATGACCCTGGTACAAAGTCAACCTCTGGTGGTCAGTTCAGGTTAAAGCAATACTAAAGGCCTATACAACATAAAATGTGAATAAAACAGGGAAATTATGTTGATATCTTCCTTCTGGTTCTGACAATAAACTGACACAAAGAATAAGTATTTTCTTTCTTCAAACACTATAACTCCAGAACAATAAAATATCTAATGCATAATATAAATAGGCAACATTGCATTTTAGGTCTTTATTAGCATATGTTGAACATACATTCTTATTGATATAAATATAAATAGGCAACATTGCATTTTAGGTCTGTATTAGCATGTTGAACATACATTCTTATTGCAATGTCACTGTTCTTTGTAGCAACAGCTATATTATTCTACTCAATAAATAACAGCTATGTATCATGTATTCAGACTCTCAAGGCTAGTGATATATTTCCTAGATAACTGTTTTTAAATGTCATGTTAAAAATGGCTCAAACAAAGATAAATATTTGAACACTTAAAGTTGTAGCACCTTTTATGGATTGTTATTTTGTAGTTTCTTTGTTTATTTTTTCACTTATCTGAATAGGTTTCTTTGTAATTGTAGGTTCACATGTTAATTTTTGATTGTGTTAAAGTTTTCTTTTGCTGTAATTGTATTTGCATTATTATTAAATGTCGACTTCGAAAAGCCTAACCAAGGACAGGGCTTGCAAATTAAAAAAAAAAAAAAAAAAAAAAATTAAAA